GCCTGTCACCCACGTGGCCAGGGGTTCCTGCCGGCGGGACTGTAGTCGCAAAGGTGTCTGTGTGGGTGACTGCGGCGTCACAGAGAGGAGCCCGCGAGGCAGCCTCCGGGACGCAGAAAGGGAGCCGGGGGCCAGTCCTGGAAGCCAATGAGGGAGTGTGAAGGGTGTTCCGCTGCGTCAGCGGGGCCCGAACCGCCCTTGGGAGGAGGAGCCTGGGGTCCAGCGCCGCGCAAGCTGCCCTCGCTTCCCACCCAGGGACACTGAGCCCTCTGCGCCCGCAGACCTGGCGGGGTCGCAGGGCTAGGTCTCTGCCGGCGGCCCTCCCCAGGCGAGCTTCCTCTGGCCTGGGGCGGCAGAGCGGAGGAGGCGGGGGACGCCGACCGCCCCGAGCAGCCGGTGGTCCAGGGTCCGCGGCCCCGCGGAGAGCAGGCCTGCTTTCTACGCAGGCGCGCCGCCCAGGCCGGGAGGGGCGGGGCCTGGACGGGTCGAGGGGCGGGGTCAGATCCCGGGCCCGCCTCCACGGGCTCCTGTGAGCCGCCGAGTGCTAGGCACCCCAGCTATTCTAGGGGCTTCAGGTGAGCGGGGGGCACCGAAGGGTCAGGAGGCCTCCCTGGAGGTCGGGCCGTTGGCCGGGCCGCGGGTGCATCTGTCCTGCCGTCTGCCAACAGACGCCTCCGCGGAGAATGGGAGAACAAAGGGAGGGGGTGGTTCTGGGGCCCCCGAGGGAAGCCAGGGTCCCAGGTACCCCGCCCTGCCCGCTGACACTTTCGGTTTCTCCCTGAGTCAGAGGCGCCGCCCGAGAGACCCTGGGCCGGCGCCGGGCGCAGCTGCCTGTCCGCGTTTGCCTGTCCGTCTTTGTGTCTGTCTCTGTGTCTGTCTGCTGTGCCCGAACTTGCCTCCACCTCTAAAACTAAGTCTCCCGGACACCCCGGCATCCCGCGAACTCTCGCCCCTCTCCCATGGCAGGTAAGTGGGCGCCAGGCTGAGGGTCTCCGTTATCCCCCCCACGGACTGGGGAGCTGGGCGTCGAACACATCCTCCCGGAATGTGCTCCGACTGGCTGCGTGGGGCCCCTCCCTTCGTCCCGGGGAGCCGCCGCCCTGCTCCCCCGCCCCATCTTTCTCAGCCTCTTCCCATCACGTTTTCCCCGCAGCCTCGCGGCCCGTGGCCTAAGGGGAAGGGGGATGAGGCCGTGGGTCCCTTTCTAATCCACCCCTTTCCCCCCCCCACAGGCTACTTGCCCCCCAAAGGGCACGCCCCTTCACCCCCACCTCCCTACCCTGTGACCGCTGGGTACCCGGGGCCGGCGCTGCACCCCGGGCCCGGGCCGGCGCCAGTGCCCTCCCACGTACCTGCCCCTGCGCCCGGCTTCTCTCTCTTCCCCTCGCCCGGCCCCGGAGCCCCGGGGCCTGCTGCCCCGTTCTTGCCACTGCCGGGGGTGCCTTCCGGCCTCGAATTCCTGGTGCAGGTGAGTGGCAGGGAGGAGGGAGTGGCGACGAGGGGACCCGGCGTCCAGGCCAGCCGGCTGACATCGACGCCCACCCTACTCTCTTTCCAGATTGATCAGATCTTGATTCACCAGAAGGCTCAGCGAGTGGAAAGTGAGTGAAAGGAGGAGTAGGGTGGGCCTCGTGGCGGAGGCAGAGAGAGTGGGCTCCTGGCGGGGGGGAGCCCGTGGTGCCTGAGCCCCAGCGTGTCTCCCCCCGGCAGCGTTCCTCGGCTGGGAGAACTGTAACCGGTATGAACTGCGCTCCGGGGCCGGGCAGCCCCTGGGTCAGGCGGCGGAGGACAGCAACTGCTGTGCGCGCCTGTGCTGCGGCGCGCGCCGGCCCCTGCGTGTCCGCGTGGTGGACCCCGGTGACCGCGAGGTGCTCCGCCTGCTGCGGCCCCTGCACTGTGGCTGCGCGCGCTGCCCGTGCGGCCTCCAGGAGGTGGGCGGGGGGGGCGGGCTTGGGGGGGCAGGTCGTCGTGGGGAGGGCCCCCTGACCGTGCACGGTCCGCTCGGAATGAGGCGCGCTCGCGGGGTGACGTGCGGCCCCGGCGGGCGCGGGCGGGTGGGATGCGAGGTCAGCGAGCGGGGTGACAAGGGGTCTAGGGAAGGGGATGGGAGGTCTTGTGAGGGCAGACAGATGAAAGAGCCTGGCCGGTGAGAGCGTGGGCCGGCGTGCCCTCTTGGCAGTGACCCCGTCCGCCTCCCACTCCAGATGGAAGTCCAGGCTCCCCCCGGCACCACCATTGGCCACGTGCTACAGACCTGGCACCCCTTCCTCCCCAAGTTCTCCATCCAGGATGCGGATCGCCGCACGGTCCTGCGCGTGGTGGGGCCCTGCTGGACCTGTGGCTGCGGCACGGACACCAACTTTGAGGTACCAGGAATAAGGGGAGATTCCTGGGACCGTCATACACCAAGATGGCAGCGTCTGTGAGGCAGGATAGCCCACGCAAAGGTCAAGACCCTGAGCTCCTCCATCCGATTCCACTGTGACTCCTACCACACTTGCAGTGATCCTCCATATTCAGAAAGGGATGCCCCTGTAGTCTTAAGAAACGGAAGCTTGGCAGAGAGGGTCTCATCTTAAGGACCAATGCTGATTGTTGCCTACAGCCCTGTGTGCAAGGGAAAGAGTCTAAGGCCGGGCCTGATTTAGGGCAAGTCCGCTGTGGGCTGGACCCATGTGGCTGCTATGCGTGAGTTTGGGAGCCCAGACCTGGAAGCGAACACCAGTTTAACTTGCTAAGATCCTGCGGCTTGCCCCGCCAACCTAGAAGTCCAAACAGCCTCCCCTCTCCCGCCAAACCTGGAATCCAGGTGCTCTATATCCTTGTCATCATGCACTGCTATCATCAGCCTGGACAACCTAAGTGGTGACACTTGCAGGGGGAGGCTGGGGAAGCACCTCCATTTCTAGAAGACAGAGGCATATCACAGACACTTGAGTTCTTTAAGGGATAATCACCAGGGCAGATGAGGGAGAAATAACAGGTAGAACCCTACAGACTTCCCAAGGCTTTTGATGAAGTGTCTGGACTAAGCCTGCTTTTAAAAAATCGAGTCACCTTGGTAGGTGGGTGGAGGTTCCATGATGGGAAGATCACCAGGTGAGCTCTGGTTGGGAACGTGGAGACTGTGGGGCCCTCCCAGGGCCAAGTCTCCCTTTCCTTTTACGTGATTATGAAGGATCCCTATTTGGGGCTGCCCTTGGGAGAGGCCCTGCCCAGCTTGAGACTGGTCTGCAGGAAGTGCCCCAGCGCTGTTGGGACAGTGGGGGACAGGGATGGGAAGGGCATCGTTCTAGCCACTGAAGATTAAGCCAAGGAAAAGGACCAGGGAATCACCGTGAATTACCACCCACAGCGGCAGGGCCTGTTGCTGCTGGGCCCAGAGAAGTCCGTGGAAATCATGGTCCTCATGGGCCACTTACTGCCGCCCCCGCCTCCCGTAGACGGGCGCGGATCTCCTCTGGATGAAGCTTGCATGCGATGCTGGACAGGGCCCTTCCTACTTTGCAGATTCGAGGAAAGGCACCCCTTTGGGCAACCACAGCCTTCCAGGAACCCGGTTGGCTGATAGCGCACGGCCTCCCTCCCCGGCCCCTCTTGACCAGGTTCCTGCGTTCAGGGCACCCACTGCACCAACCGTAGGTGGCCGGTACTTTGGTAACCAAAACAAGCCCGGCAGGCAGTCCTACGCCGAGAGGAGTAGTACCTCCCGCTTCCACGTCCCCCACCACTGATGTTCCATTCTCATGGGCGGCCTTTCAAGAGCAACACATCAGAGCCCGAATTCTGATTTTTGCTATACACACGCAGCGTGACCGAGGGTGACTCAGTTTCCCCCGATGTCACATGGAAACCCAAGGCTGTTGGAAGGACTCCCTGAGTGGAGAGCCTGCACGGTCCATGCAGGGTGGTGGTGGGGGAGCAGTCACATCCTCCCCAGTTGGGTTCTGCCCCCCGCCCCAGGTGAAGACCCCGGACGAATCCCGCAGCGTGGGCCGCATCAGCAAGCAGTGGGGGGGGCTGCTCCAAGAGGCCCTCACGGATGCAGATGACTTTGGCCTGCAGTTCCCACTGGATCTGGACGTGAGGGTGAAGGCGGTGCTGCTGGGAGCCACATTCCTCATCGTGAGTTGGCTGCCCCGCCTCCCCTCCTGATCTCTGCTCTCACTCCAGGCTTTGTGCACTGCCTGGCTTCCTGCTCAGACAGGGTTAGGGACACGGACTTTATAGGGGCTTGCGGTGCCTGACCTGGGGTGTGAGAGCTGAGCTAGGCCCGCCCAGCCGGCTCTGTTGACAGTGCCTTCCCCTCAGGACTACATGTTCTTCGAGAAGCGAGGAGGCGCTGGGCCCTCGGCCATCACCAGTTAGAGGCCACCTCGGGGTGAGGAGACCATCACCTCAACGGGGATCCAAGATGGCGGCCTGTCCCGGCCCCTCCTCAGAGGCAGCCCCTTCCCTCGATGTGCACTGCAGGGGACAGACAGGGATGCCCGAGTCTAGGGGCCACGGTGCCCTACCCCTACCCTAATTCCCTGGCCTCCTTCACCTCGGCCCCCAGAGAAAGGTATGTAGGAGAGCCCTTCCCCTGCGACCTCCCACCCCTGTCTCTGGCGAGCCCCCAGCACCCAGGCATATCCGCTTTCAGACTCTCCCTCCCCTCCCCTTGCTCTCACCCCCTACCGGGTCTCTGCTCCACATGTGGTCTGTGGAGTCCAGGGCCCTGGGGTTTGCTGACAGAACTGGGGTGAGACAAGGGACGCAGCACCAAAGATGGCGGGTATGACTGCTGTCCCCCCGCACTGGCTCGGCCGGCGAGTCCAGCCCCAGACAGTGGCACTCCGAGGGGGTCCCCACCTCCCTGCCAACAGCTGTAGGGCCTACCCTCCGGTGCCAACTTCCTTCCCCCCTGGGCCCTGCCTACAGCTGCGGCTTCTGTGCCTTCCGCAAGCACCCCGACCTTTCCTCGCCCTGGGAAGGAGGCTGCATCTTTGTATGTTATGTTCATATAAACTTTGTAACTTTTTGGGTACTGGAAGATGTATGTAATGGGAGAGAGTAGAAGAGCTGGTGCGCGAAGAAACCAAGGGAAACAGGACAGCTGGGCTGGGGTGGGGGCCGGCCCATTTCATCATCCGCGCTGCCAAGATCCAGCGTCCTTGGGTTCAAGAGGGCAATGTCATCCTCCATCATGGCCCTGGACAGAGCCAAGGCAGTTTGGGCCACGCACCCCAAGTCAGTACGGTTGCTTCTACCATCCAAGATGGCTGCACCCCAGAGGCCAGTGTGGTAGCTGACCGCCGTTTGGGATGGCTACTCCCGAGGTCCGCTCTAGCAAGTGGAAGCTTCCCGTGCGTGTGATGTGGGGCAGCTCTGTCCCTCCAAGTTCTCTTGGTTGGGAATATGGTGGGCAGACTGGACTAGATCCTTCTATGAACCAGCCAAGGGAGCTGGAGCCCTCAAGAGGTCAAGGGGCACGGGAGGAGACGCTGGTCAGTGCCCGACGCCGGGCTCCTCCTGTACCTGCCCACCACACGATCTCCCCGGGTGGGAAATTCTGCCCTGGTAGGACCAGGTTCTGGTTCTGCTTGGTCCCGCGGGGCCAGGCCCTTGATCCAGGCTGGTATCCACGCCCAAGGGGGCCGCGCTCAGGGCCGGGCCAGGACGTAGCGACTGGCAGCGGAGAGATCCCACTGGTAGCGCTCCAGGATGCGTCGGCAGTCCGCTCTGGACCGGCTACTCAGATGGAAGAGCTGGTCCACCTGCAGGGGCGGGAGGGTGGGCAGTGAGTGCCGAGGGCCGGGGCGGGAGCAGTGCGAACCCAAGAGCAGGGTCTGGCTTTACCTTGAGGTTCCGGATGGCAGAAACCACGTCTCCCCCAGTGGCCCTGAGTGCTGCCTGGCACTCCTGGTGGGTGACTCCATGCACGCTCAGCTCCACCTGCGGGGCATGAAGCCTTGCTCAGGCCACTACCCCTGCCCGGAGACCCCTCTGGACACCAGCCACTTCAGGGACAGCTCACCTCCACAATCCTCCGCTGCAACTCGGGGTCGGGCAAGAGGCCTCCAGCAGGGACGGTGGCTTTGCTAGCCCCAGGCGCCCCCGAGGCATGGCTGTGGGGGGGTTCCCTTTTGGCCCAGGGAGGCCGCTCCCCGGGGGGCTGGCTGGGCTGAGAAGGGCTGGAGGCAAAGGGAGGGCGGGATGGCAGGCCTGGGGGTGTCTGGGGCACAGCTCTGGCATGACGAAGTTCAGGGGGGCTCGAACCACCCCCTGTGGGGCGGGGGCCCAGGGACAGAACAGACTCCAGACTCTTGGAAATGACTACAGTTGAGAAAAAAGGAGCTTGAGAGGAAGCCCAGACGCGGGGCCCTGCCTTCTCCCCACTCTGTGCGCTGCTCTCAGGGTGACCCTTGGTCAGGGGTGCAGCAAGGTGTGCCAAGGCAGCGGAAGGCCCCGAAGAGCCAAGGTGGCAAGGTGGCAGGAACTGCAAGGGGGAGCGGGCAGATCCTAAAGTCCAGCGAGGTTGTCAAGTCACATATGCAAAGGTCCGGACTCGGGGCAGGGGCAGCCTCGGAGGGTCGTTCTTGATCTCCTCAGAGACCCTGGAAGCTGGGTCCCCACCAGCCACACCCACCTTTCATCCTCTGCAGGGGCACGTTCCTTCTCTGGCCCCATGCTGGAGGTAAATCCCGAAGCTTTGCCTTCCCTCTGTCCCTGTTGGAGGGAGTGATCCCGGTCACTCTCCACACCCCCACCCTACCACTGGCCTGGCAGTGTTCCTCCCCACACACACTCTTCCAGGTGCTCACCCATCTACGCTTTCCTGGTGTCGCTCCCCCTGGGCAGGGGAGACCCTGTGGACCGGACGGGTGGCTGGTGAGCCCCCCGCATCTGCCAGCGTCACTGCCGAGGCTGGGAAGCTGCCCACTTTGAATGTGCGGCCGTTCTGGCCCTTCCAGGCTGCAGAGTCGGGGCTGTGGGAAGGGGTGAAGGGGACGGAGTGGGGGCTGGGCTCGCGCCCACATTCAGCTCACAAGCTGGGTGCCGTGGAGCTGCATCTGCCTGGAGGAAGGGAAGCTTTTTTTCTCCCGAACACAAAAGGGCTCTATGGGCTTGGTGGCTCCAGCCGGAGGCCACAATGGTATTGCAGCTCTGGCGGGGGGGGGGGGGGGGGGGGGGGGGGGGGGGGGGGGGGGGGGGGGGGAGGCGGAGGCAGAGGAGCAGGGTTCAGGGAGCTGGGGAGCAGCAGATCGGGACCAGGGTCAGGAAGGTTGGCTGGGAGTCCTCCTGGGGACGTGGGGGAGGCATGAGGCTCTCACCTGCCCTCAATGATGGTGATGGGGTCACCAGTCTGCATCCTTAGGGCACCTGGCTCTGTGACATCCCGCACACAACGTCCCTCAGGAGGCCAGGCCTGCAGAGACAGGAGGAAAGGGAGGCAGGGCTTGTGGCCTGAGTCCGAAGGGTAATTTTGTCGGAGCAGGGAAGAAAGGAGACTCCTCTCTGTTAATGTACCCACCAACGAAACCCATACCAGCTATGTCCTTGGTCCTGGGCCCAGGGTGGGACTGTCCCTGTCCCCCGGTTGTGATCCAGCAGGGGGGGGCAGACCTGGAGTCCGTGCCAAGCTGGACATAGCCCAGGGGTCAGCAAGCAACAAAGGGGGGCCCTGTCTCTACCTAGGAGAACCAAGGGGAGAGTCGTCCCATGCACTGCTTTTACCCCCCCCCCCCCCAGCTCTGCCTTTCAGGGCTCTGGAAATTGTCTGTTTCTTTTCTGGAAATTTCTCCCTTGACCCTGAACCAGACATCATTTCATTCCTGATTTGCAGCCACTGTCACCTACCTGCTCTTCCCATGTTCAGTGTCCTCCCTGCCATCCCTTCTTGCACCAAGCCAGAGTGATAGAGCATGTAAAGCTGGCTTGTGACTTCTCCCGCTCAAAACCCTTCCATGGCTCCCAGGTGCCCTCAGAGTAAAGACTGAACTTCAACAACAGAGTTCAGTGATTTAGGTCATTTGACTGGTTCAACTGACCTAAGAGGGCTCCTCCGCTTACCATATGAATTTAGGCAAACCACTTCAATGCCTTAACTGCCCCATCGGTAAAGGCCACGAAATAGCGGCCTTCCTGGGTTGTGAGGATGAAGTGGGTGATCGTGCAGATCGTGCAGGAAGATACCGTGTAAATCTCTTTGTACGGGGCCTTCCACAGATCAAGTGCCCTGTGTTAGCTCTGGTTATCTAGCTATCAGTCCTTCCATATCCCTCCGGGGCACACCCCTGAGGTCCCTGCCCTGTCCGCCCCCCCCCCCCCCCCCACTGAACTTCTTCACCTCTGCCTGTAGACCCTCACAGCAGCCTGGAGCTCTGTGCTCCCCCTTTTCTGGCCCAGCTCCAGCCCCCAACCCTTGAGCCTGCATCTGTGTGCCCCGAGCTGCCTCCCCAGGGCTCCGAGCACCCTGCAGGTAGAGCCCGAATCTGTCGGTCTTTCCCAGACCCCAGCCCAGGAATATCTGTTGGTCTTGTGCGTGCAACTCGGGGAGAAAACGGGGAAGTGAGAGGGGGTGTATGTGGGAGGTAGGGGCTCCCACCTCTTGGAGCAGCCCCTCCAGGTAGGAAAAGCTAGGCCGGTCGGCGGGGTGGGGGGCCCAGCAGCGCAAGGCCAGGGCGTAGAGCGCCCTGGAGCAGAGGGGAGGCCGAGGCAGCCGGGCCCGGTCCTGCTCCAGCCGCTGCAGGATGAGGTACGGCGGGACCCCGGCCCACGGCTCCTCGCCCCCGGAGAACATCTCCCACAGCGTCACCCCAAACATCCACACGTCCGACGCAGAAGAGAAGGCCCCCTGGCGCAGGCTCTCTGGCGCACACCTGCGGAAACGCAGCTGAAAGGGGCGCCCGGGGCCCCCTCTCCCCGCCCACTCCCGCGGCGCCGCCACCGTTCTCGGTGACCTCGTTCCCCAGCCTTTCCAGAATCCTCCTCCCGGCCTCCCTGGGGGGACCCGCGCACCCGCCCCGCCCGCAGCCGGACGGGTGCCCTCGCGATCGGCCCCCCCCTCGGCCCCTCACCAGGCGTAGGGGATGGGGCGGGGCCCGCCCATGACGTAGCGGCCCCGGGCGCCGCGCAGTGGCCGCACCAGCCCGAAGTCGGCCACCTTGATGGTGCGCGGGGAGGCGAGCAGCAGGTTGCGCGTGGCGAGGTCTCGATGCACCAGCCCGCGGGCCCCCAGGTACGCCATGGCCCCCGCCAGCTGCCGCAGGAAGAGGCAGAGCCGGGCCACGGGCAGCGGGGGTGTCGGGGGCGGGGCGGTCAGGCGCGCGTGCAGGGAGCCCAGGGGCGCCAGCTCCATCACCTGCGGGAGTGCGGCGCCGCGTGAGCAGGGGTCCGCTTCCCCCCCCCTCCCCCGCCCCAGCACGGGACCCTGCCCCCGCCCCCTGTCGCGCCCCTGTCCTGGGAACCACTGTCCCGGTCTGCTCACCATCTGCAGGGGTTGGCCCAGTACGAGGCCGTGCAGACGCAGCACGTGTGGGTGCTCCAAGTTCATCATGATGGACACCTCTCGAAGGAAGTCCCCCAGCTCTGTGCCCACGGGGCCTTCAGGACCCACCCGGAGGGATTTGACAGCCACGGGGACCTGGCGAGTGGGGGGAAAGGACACTATCTGGCACCCAGAGCAGAGAGGGCGTGCAGGCCCGAGGGGCAGTGAACAGAAGAGAAAAGAAAAGAAGAAAGGAAGGAAAGAAAGAAACCAGAGGGGCAGCTGGCCCCAGCACCCAGAATGAAGCAGGCTCCTCGGACTCACACTCTGGCCGCCAGGCAGTGTCCACAGCCCTCGGTGAACCACTCCAAAGCAGCCAGAGCCCAGCAGCTCCCCTCTGCACACAGCACCATCCGGGATCAGACACTTGAGTCCCCCCTCCGGCTCAGGGAGGGTCAGGGGGCTGTCTGGAGCTGGAGTGGTCTCCTTCTGCTCAGGTGCAAAACCCCCAAGGATCTGAAGCAGGGGTGGGAAATCAAGTGTGTAGAACCCTGTACCACTCCTCCCTGACACTCAGCCCACCCCATTCCCGGTCCTAAGCTGGCCCTTTTTAAGTCTATCACCCCCACCCCAAAATGCACACCTTGTAGACCCAGTTCTTTGACTTGAACCCGGAACGGTGCTTCTTCAGAGCTTCGGCCAGTCTGCGCTGGGCTGGGGAAGGTCAGAATCAGGGGACATGGGTGGTACACGATGGGCAGTGGGGGGGGTGTGCAGAAGGATTTACAGGCCAGAAGAGGGCTCGTGGGGGGAAGGGAGGGTTTAGAAAGTACCAGGCTGGGGAAGAAGAGAGCATGGGGTCCCTTACCAGGCCGGCCCATGCCAATGCCGTCCAGGTCCTCGGGCCTGACAAAGTCGAAGTGCTCTGGCCGGGTAACATTAAGTTCCTCGAGGATGGGTCGGTAAAACTGTGCCAGCTGGATGTCCCGGAGCAGCCGAAGCAGCCACAGCGAACCCACCTCGGGGAGCATGTCTGCAGAAGGAATCCCTGAGGACGACGCACCCACCTCGACACCTAGCCCAGGGTAAGTCGCTGAGACACGGACACAGCAGAAACGGGGTCTCCAGCGCCACTGCCCCCACCCCTCAGACACACTCAGGTGCAGAGGGAGGGATGGGTCAAAGACAGCCAGGAATCCGGCCACTCACACAAACCCCAGGAAAAATGCTCCCCATACCTGAGACCTACATACGGTCCCCACCTCACACCTGAGATTTCAGTGCTCTGCAGACCTCAGGTATGTTCCTCTGCCAACTCTTGAGATAGAATGGCACCCTGCCCCTGCACCCCTAAGACACCAGGGGACCACATACCTGCCAGCGATGCCCAGATATGCTAACCACACCGTTAGGTGTGGTTCCGCCTCAGCCATGCAGAAGCACCCACACTCACACGGGTATACTACTTCCTACACTTGAAACGCTGCTACCCACGCACACTGAGACCTACAGACATGCTGCAAAAGAAGCCTGAGACACCCAGATACCTGGCCTTTCAAGTCCGAGACATTCCAGAATGCTGCCATGGAACACCCCGGCTTACTGCCGCATAACCTCTCACATACGCCTAGGGGTGACACTGCAGGTCACTACCTCCGAGACATACCGCCCCACGTGTCTGAGACATCAAGGTCCACAGAAACACACAACACACGAGACACCCAGGTGCCGTGTGCACACACACCCGAACTATGGCGGGCATACCGCCCCTCAGCTCAGAGATGTCCAGGGTCACCGCCTTTTTGGCACCCAAGGCAGCAACGCTTGAAATGACATTGGGCATTTGTGATTGGTGGTTAGGTGCAGGCTGAGCTAAGCTCGGGTACTGCCTACGGAGCCAGGTGCTGCCAGGTGCACAGTCCCTTCCACACCCACCTGCGCGCAGCTCCAGGTACAGGAGCCCTGCCAGCACACCTGAGTCACTCAATCTGACTTGGCTTCCAGGCAACTCCACCAATCTTTGTTAACTAAGGCCGGGTGCCCTGGGCGCTGACTGCCTGCACCACACTCTCCCTAACACGCACCTGGACCCCTCCCTCCCCCCCACTTTAGTTAAACCAGGAGGAAGGGCTGGACTAGGGACTGGGCGCCGGGAGGGGCGGGGCGGGGGAGGGAGGCCAGGACCCAGGGAGACCCGGGACCGCCTTGCAAGGGGAGGTAGGGAAAGCACGCGAAGGGGGACGGGAGGAAAGGCGGCCGCAGAAGGGAAGGACCGGGGGAGGGGAGGAAGGGGAGGAGAACAGGGCACCTGCGGACGCACCCCAAGCGGCGGCTGCTCCGCCAGCCCCAGCCCCCGGCGTCCCCGCTCCCCTGGAGCCTCACCTGGCGAAGGCGGAAGCAGCGGCTGCCGAGCCGCCCTGGCCGCCAGCACTAAATCCCGGGGGGGCGGGGCCGCAGGCCGGGGGGCGGGGCCGCCCGCACCACGCCCCTCGCCCCCCTCGCGCCGGCCCGGACCGCCTGCGGGGGCGCCCCCACCCAGGCCGGCGGGCCCTCCTCCGCCCTGCCGACCCCGAGAAACCCTTCCCCAGTCTCTTCCCTCTCCCCTCCTCCACATCCTCTTTCCCGCCTCTTTCAAAGACCTTTTCACCCCTCCGAGACTTCCTCCTGGGGGCCGTGTCCCCCATGAAATCTTTCACCTCTCCCAGCCAGAGCCCCACCCCTTACACGAATAAGCACCAGATGGAGAAATGTTGCCCATGGCCTGGGAATATAAGGCTAAACAGGACCTCGTCCCTGCCCCCCAGCCGGGGAGAGAGCGTCCCTAGCCCCCATATGGAGGAAGGCAGGGTGGCACGGGGCGCTTTGAAGTGGAACCAGGGCAGACAGGAACCATTGCTGGTGCAGGAAGTCAGCCCCCAGTCTACACAGAGTCTAAGGTTGGAGGCATTGTCGGTGTCGCAGCTCCGAACGTCGGTCCAACGTGCTGCCCGCCAAAGGGACCTTTTGGGAGCTCCCCAGGGTAGAACATGTGGGAGGTCTTCTGTGTGGGTGGGCTCCTGACCCCCATCCCAGCTTGGTCCCTGGTCTCCGTGGTCAAGGGCAGCACCCCATGCTTCAGGGCACCCCTCCCCATCACTGGCATTTAACTGGCCTCATTCTGGCTCAACCCTCCTTCCCCCATGTAGTCTCTGTACACCCGCTGCCTGGATGGTGGCCACAGGACAAAGTCTAGAACCTCGGAGAAGGCTCTGAGGAGGAGCATCCCTCCTCTCCCTTTCCCTCAGGGGTCCCAGGGAGGAAGTCACAAGTCTCAGGACATCTGGCCTGTCTCCTTCTGTCCTGAGGAAGGATGTGTGAACTATCCTCAGAGTCCCTTGGAGGGAAATCTCCCCCATCTTGGTAAGCACACAGGATATTCCAGCACTGGTGGGAAAATTTTCATAGTTCACGGTGGAACCTGTTTGCTTTCCTTGCCTTTTCTTGCCCTCTAGTGAGGCCAGCTCATCACACTATAATTGCTCACTCCACAGCTGATATACTGTGGGTTCCACACAGTAGGGGCTGGATCTGTCTTGTTCATCCTTGTGTTCTTAATACCTAGAACAATGTAGGCATGTAATAGGTACAGTACATATTGATTTTGAAGAAATCTGCTCAGTCTAATTGTCATTCCTCTGTCAGTGATCTGTTCTTTCTCCCTGTTTTTAAGACATCATTGGTATTTTGTAGTTCCATCACAAAGTATCTAGGTATGGATTATTTTTTACTCATTCTGATTAGTGTCTTGTATTTCCTGTATCAATGAATTCGTATCTTTCATCGGTTTTAGAAAATTCTCAGCTAGTATCTCCTCAAATATTGTGTTTCCTCCATTCTTTGGTTCTCCCTTTGGGGACTCTGATTAGAAGTATGCTAGACTTTTTCACTCTGTTCTTCATGTCATTTAAACTCTCTTTGGGCGCCTGGGTGGCTCAGATGGTTAAGCGTCTGCCTTCGGCTCAGGTCATGATCCCAGGGTCCTGAGATTGAGCCCCGCATAGGGCTCCCTGCTCCTTGGGAGCCTGCTTCTCCCTCTGCCTCTCTCTCTCTCTCTCTCTCTGTCTCTCATGCATAAATAAATAAAATCTTTAAAAAAATTAAAAATGAAAAAAATAAACTCTCTTCTATATCTTCCAATCTTTGTGTTACTGTGATGCAATCCAGGTAATCTCCTTAGGTCTGTGTTCCAGTTCACCGATTCTCTCTTTGGTTATGTCTGATGTGCTGTTTAATCCATACTCTGAGGGTTTTTTGTCATTGTTATATTCATATGAACATTAGTATACTTTGCTGACAGTACTTTATTGAGGTATAACTTACATTCAGTAACGTGCCCAGATTTAACTGTATAGCTCAATGCGTTTCTTTTTTTTTTTTTAAGAGTTTTGTTTAAGAGAGAGAGAGAGAATGAGGGACAAGTGGGCTCCCCACTGAGCATGAAGCCCTGATGCAGGGCCCAATCCCAAGACCCCAAGACCCCAAGACCATGACCTGAGCTGAAGTCAGATGCCTGACTGACTGAGCCACCCAGGCACCCCAGCTCAATACATTTCAATCGATAAACACGTGTATTAATGCAGATAAAGACCCCGAACATTTCAACGATCCCAGAAACTTGCCTTGTGTCCACTTTCAGTCGATTCCATTGTCCGGAGGCAATGACTATTCTGATTTCTAAAACCCATAGATCACTTTTGCTTGCTCCCAACCTTCTTATCAATGGAGTCACATGCTGTAATTGCATTTGACTTCTTGGACTCGACACGTTTTGTTTTTTAATTTTTTTTAAAAAGATTTTATTTATTTATTTGACAGAGACACAGCGAGAGAGGGAACACAAGCAGGGGCAGAGGGAGAGGGAGAAGCAGGCTTCTTGCTGAGCAGGGAGCCTGACATGGGGCTTGATCCCAGGACCCTGGGATCATGACCTGAGCTGAAGGCAGACGCTTAATGACTGAGCCTCCCAGGAGCCCCTCAACACGTTTTTGAGATTCGTCTTGGTGTTGTCCAAGTTCTTGGTGGGAATCACATAGCCCTGTGAGCTTCGTCAGGGAAGAGCACGTGACACCTGATTTTTCTCTGAATGTCCAGCGTCTTCACAGATCTGGGTGCACCGGAGGTCCTCTGGGAGTTGAACACATACGTGTAGAGGACGTGGGGCTATATGAAGGCAGCTGCCGCCAGAGAGGTTGGCAAAAGACAGGCCAGGCATCAATTCCTCCTTCAGCAAGCCTTCACTGTGCCAGGTTCTGGGGACCCGGGCGAACAAGCAGACATGATCCCTGGCTTGGTTAGATTCACTCTACAGGGCCTTGGAGGACACGGTCAGGAGCTTGGGCCTTACCTGAGGGCTCTGATAACCACTGAACGGTTTCAGCAGAGGAGTGACAGAACCAACCTGCTGCGTAAGCTGGACTCTGGGCCTAGGTCCTCTATACTCCGGCAGGAAACCAGACAGATTTTCCAGCAGGAAACCGGACACAGAGGCTCAGCCCCACCTTTGTCTTTAGCTTGGAAAAAACCCAGGGAATCAGAGGCCTCTTTATTCCTCCGCCTTCTCCCTATTCATGTCTTACTTCTGGAGTTAAGCTTCTCTCAACCCCACCTGTGTGGGGAGCACTGCCGGACCACCCTTGGGGAGCGCCCCTTCTAAGCTGAGATGGGGCGTCCTGCTAAACCTGGAGGCCCAGATCGGGCACCAGTCCCACTCTGAGTGCCTTTCCCCAACCCTGGCCCTGCCCCGCAGGCTCTACATCCGAGAAGGATGAGCACATTCACACCACCCGCCAAGTCTTTCCCCAAAGGGGCAGGGAACAAGAAGTGTAAGCAGAGAGGTCCCCTGTTATCTTCCGCACCTACTGCCTTGGGTTTGGGTGGGGGGTAGGGCCCATCCTTCTGCAGAAAACTCTCCTCTCCTATTGGTAGCCATATTAATGCCCCCTTAGCTCCTCCCTTCGTGCTCTGATCCCTGAGATCACAGGGCTCTCCCCTGCCATCTTAGCTACAGGGGAAAGTACCTCACTCTCTTTGGGGCCTTTGTGTGGCTGTTCCCTTGCTTGGAAGTCCTCCCGCCCTTATCCTGATCTGGCTAAGTGCAGGAAGCCTATCCCTCCCTGGTCAGGTCCCTTGCCCTGAACCCCAAGATCCCTGTGCCTTCCTGTTGTTGCAGTCATTGCTTTTCTGACCTTGCCAGTGTCTTGTCTGTCTACCCTGCTGGATTCCAAGCTCCAGGCAGAACAAGACTTGATCTTGTCTGGGTATTGCTGTATCCCTCCTGCCCAGTCTAGTCCCTGCCCACAGGATAAGTGCTCAGTAACCTTTGTTGAGCAAATGGGTGAGGCAGCGTCATCTGGGTCGGGTGATGCCAAGGAGACTTTTTTGACATCAGGAGCTCCTGTGCTGGGAGTGATGTGTATGGGAGTGTTCCGAACCCCCCCATAAGCATTCTCTGGCAAACCTGTCCCTGCCCCTCTCCCTGTTTGGCCCCAAGTGGTTGGCTCTTCCTAGACCCTGGGGTGAAACCCTCCCATTCCATCACCTCATCTCCATCCCCCAACTCCTGGGGCCCATCCTTTCCCAGTTTGGATTTGCCTTGTGGTTTTTAGAGTCACCATCCAGCCCACCACCCTGTTCGTACCTGCTGGTTTGCTTTCCGAAGTGGAAAGTGCTCCTAAATCCACCCCATTCTTTCAGGCTCACCAAGGAGCCGAGGGCCTTTCCAGCAGAGTAGCTTAGAGCGCACCTCCCGGGTCTCACTGCCTGAGTTGGAATCCCCCCCCCCCGCCGCCCCATCGCTTGCCATCCTGTGACTCTGAGCAAGTGACTTCCCATTTCTGTGCCTGTGTCCTCCTCTTCAAGATGAATCTACTAGGAGTATTTACCTTTGGAGAAGTAAGTGTGTCCACGTGTGTGTGTGGTAGCCCGAGTGGAGACTGGTGAAGCCCCCGCTCGGCATTAACGCTGGTGTACGCGGCGCCTTCCCCGGTGAACAGGGCTGATCTGGGTCCTCAGAGGGATATTGCAGAAAGGATGGTGTGTGGCCTCCAAGCGAGCTCGTCCAAGACAGCGTGGCTTCTGCCTTCCTCTCTTGAACCCCCCACTCCGGGGAAACCCAGCCACTGGGTCATGAGGACATGCAAGTGGGCCTATGGAGAGGCTCCCCACGCCAAGGGAACGGAGGCCTCTTGCCAACAGCCAACACCAACCTGCCAGGCATGCGAGTGAGCCATCCTGAAAGATGATCCTCCAGCCCTGGTCAAACCTTGGATTTCCGAGACCTTGACCGACATCTGGACAGCACCCTCGTGGGAAATCGTGAGCCAGAACCACCCAGTTAAGCTGCTCCCGAATTTCTGATCCACAGAAACTCTGAGATCATGTTTATTGTTTTAGACAATTAAGCTTTGGAATAATTTGGTACAGGGCTGTAGGTTAACTAATACGGTGCACGAAATGCTTGGAATCATGTCTGACACGTCGTTGCCATATGGGGTAGCCAGCGTTAACATTCGTTTTACAGGGAAGGAGACTGAGTCTGAGGCTGGTGAGTGACACGTAGCTGGGAAGGGCATGACGAGTTATGTCGTGAACACAGGGCCCTTCGGTGCCAAGTCCTAGGCTCCTTTATTGGTCCCACTGTTCCCGTGGCCTGCTGCCAAGTAGTAAGACCTGGTGGCAAAGAGCAACCGTTTTATCATGCTCCTGGAGTTCAAGAATCTGGAGTGCCACCAGGACAAAGTGGGGATAGATTTTCTCTGCTCGTCCTGAGGTGAGTTGACAGCTGGGGGCTCTGTTATCGCTCACATGGGGACAGTAGATGCTGCCTTTTGATGGAACCCCTCAATGTGGACTCTCCATGTCACCTGGGCCTCCTCACAGCATGGCGACTGGGTTTCAGAGTGGATGTCCCAGGAAGCCGAGGGCAGAGTCGCCAGTTTCTTTAGGACTTGGCCCAGGAAGTGGCCCAGTGTCCCTCCCAACATGTTCAGTTGGTCAGCCAGTGATAGAGGGAGGCACGCATAGACCCCACTTCTTGACAGGAGACATGTCAAAGAATTTAGGGGCCATTGTTTTAACCTGCCAGACCCCGAGTAGCCTCTCCTGTTGGGGGAGGGGCTCAGGAGAACCACACTCCGGTGGGTGGGCCTTACGAGCACAGGAGAGAGACACAAACACCACCAGCCTCCTCTGCCGCGTCCTCATGGAGAGCTCACGTGGGGAGCGCGTCACAGAGCTCCAGGGATGGGGCCGCGATTGTCAGGGATGATTCCTGGTGTCACCCTGTGCCAGGCTCTGGCGGACCGAGGACAAGACCTTAGGGAGTGGCTTTAGAAGGGAACGCATGGTCTAGAGGGAAGATTTTTTTTTTAAGATTTTATTTATTTATTTGTTTGACACAGAGAGAGTGAGCACGAGCGGGAAGGGCAGAGGGAGAGGGAGAAGCAGGCTCCCTGCTAAGCAGCGAGCCCGATTTGGGACTTGACCCCAGGACCCTGGGATCATGACCTGAGCCGAAGGCAGAGGCTTAACGACTGAGCCACCCAGGCGCCGCTAGAGGGAAGATTTTTAAGGAAACACCACCAACCTGATGTAACAGGTACCACATGAGAGATGTCTCGGGAAGGGACACCCCACGCTGCCTCAGGAGTTCAGAGCAGGCTTCTCGGAAGAGGTGACGTCTGTGCCGCGGGAGAAGGGCATCGGGGTATGCGAAGAAGCCTAGGCAAAGGCAAGGAGCCAGGAGCAAACAAAGGGTTTGGGCAACTACGAGTGATTCAAGTGTGGCTGTGAGGTGGGCAGAGCTGAGATACAAAGCTCGGGGGACGTGGCGGGGTGGGGGGCAGATTCCAGCAAGGATCACAAAGGTAGATCACTTATGGCTGAGAAGTACGCATGCGGCATGAGAGCAAGGGAATGTCCATAGACTCTTGGCACTGCCATTAACCCCGGCAGCCCGACTACAAAGCCCAAGTTCTGAAGAACCATCATTTGACGCCGGACGGGAAATCGTCCACAGCGTGGAGTTTCGCGAAGACTGCAGAGGGTGGGGCAGAGGAGAGGGGAGTAGGCAGTCGGGTGGCACCCTTGGGAGACTGGAGTCCACAGCCAGAGGGGTCGAGAGTGGGCTGGGGGCCACAGGGCAGGAGGAGGGCACAGATAGGCTAGAGTCCTTCAAGAAGGGGCAGAATCCGTTGATCCACTGGGTGTTGGGTGTGGAAACAAGGACAACTCCAACATGTTGAGCCTGGCAAGAGGGTACAGGGGGAGGGTACGAGGCAGCTGCCGCAGACCGGAGGGGAGCCGTGGGGCCTGGCTGGCCAGCAGCTGTGGCTTCTCATCCCAGCTTGGGCAGTAACGCCTTCTGGGCGCTCACTAGGCCTCTGTCAAAGGAATGGATGAATGAGTTGTATGATCTTGGGCAAGTTGTAGGAACTTGATATATGATCTCTGGGTCTCTCGCTCTCTTTTTTTGGGGGGGTGTAAAATGAACAGACTGGACTCGACTGTGTAAAATAAAATGGAAGGTACTTCCTAGAAGAAGTAGGCGTTCCTCTCTCCATCCCCAGGACCTTTATGGGCACCCCAAAACAGTGGTTCTAGCCTCGGCTGGCTGTAAGTTAGATGAACTGAGGCCCCATTTGATATCACCAAATTCAGAATCTCTGGATATAAGGCCCAGGGATGGATAGTTGGTGGGTTTTTTTTTTTTTAAAGATTTTATTTGTTTATTTGAGAGAGAGCGAGAGCACAAACGGTGGGGAGTGGCAGAGGGAGAGGGAGAAGCAGACTCCCTGCTGAGCAGGGACCCGATGTGGGGCTCGATCCCAGGACCCCGAGATCATGACCTGAGCCGGAGTCAGACGCTCAGCTGACTGAGCTACCCAGGCGCCCCAGGATGGATGACTACGATGTGCAACTGGATGAGAACTTTTGCCCTGGAGCCTCTAGGTACCCGGTTTGAAAACCACTGGGCTAGGTGCAGGCCAGGATCCCTTCCAGGCCCAAGCCCTTGGACTGAGACTTGTGGCTGGTGACAGGTTAACTCTTTTTATGTTTCATCTTCCACCTACCCAACCCAAACCTCCTGACAGCCAGGGGACCACACGCCAGGGTTTCTCAGCCACACACAGCTGAGGTCCTGGCACAGGAGAATTGTTGGGGAGGACTCCCCTGTGCATCGTGAAGGCCAGGGAGGCCATGGAGGCCAGCACCCCCGGCTTCCACCCACCAAATGCCAGGAGCACATCCCCCAATTGAAGCAATCAAAAACGTCTCCAGATGTCACCAAATGTCTCCTGGGGTGGAAAATCCCCCCGTCCCCCCAGCTGAGAACCACTGTGCCACCCCGAGTCTCCCGTCCCCACTCTGCCCTCCCCAGTTGCAGACAGAGGCCAGGCAGGGGTGGAGGCCATTTGACAACAGGTTTACTTGGCCTTGGCAGGAGGGACGCCTCTGTGGGAGGCCAAGGCTTCACAATGTTAAATGGAGGGATAGCCTGCCAGCAGGCTGACTGATGTGGTCTCAACTCTAAAGGGAGGGAGTTTTCCAAAACACTCATTCCCGGATTCCCAATCAGTCACAAGAGGGCCTAGAGGAGTTTGTGGGGCAGGCGCCCCCGCTTTCCGAGAACAGGAGGGAGGGGGTGCGGAGGGGATTCTTTCCTTCTGTAGATATTTTCCTGGAACCAGTGACTACTCCTGTCTGATTAGTTGAAGGCTGGGGGCGGGGCGGGGGGGGGGAGAGGAGCTTCCCAGCTGCTGGAACCTGGGTCCCTGGCAGCTCTCTGACACTGGGACCGTGGGGACGTCTGGGCTTCGGGGTCTGGAAGGCTGAACCTTGGGGATTGGAACTAAGGGGCTGGCTGATCCTCTCCGAGGGAAGTGGATTCATCGTGGTCTTTAGAACTGGAGGAGGCTGGGAGGCTGTCCGGGTCTTCACTTGTCCTTTCTGCTTCGATGTAACTGGACCTGAGCAGGGAGACAGAGAATGGGAGGCCTGGGAAGGGCAGGACAGTGCGGAGACGGGGGGGAGGGACGCTGTTGGAAGGTACTGGGGGGTCAGAAGTGGTGAGGCCCACCCCCTTCCCCCGCCCAGACTCACTCCACCACGAGGCTCATAACACCCAGCAGCAGGGCAGCTACCAAGACAGAGAGGAGCAGAATCTTGGCTTCCCAAAGATCGTGACTTCCTGCAGGGAACCCAGGAAGCAGTGAGTGATCCCGAGGACCTCACTAGTCGTTGCGGTAGGGGGCCGGGGGTGGCTGAGAGCTCAGAGACCTGAGCAAGGGGAGGCCAAGCCGAGGGGTAGAACCTGGGAGGCAGCGCTTTCGGGGCCAGCAGCGCACCTTGAATTCCTGGCAGGTGGAACAGTTATACAGGATGGTGCTGCCCCCTGCAGGAGACAGCGGGACCAGCGCTGGGGAGGGGGAAGCCGCTGTTCCCGCCTTCCAGGAACCACTCTCCTCCCCCAACCCCCCCCCCCCCCCCCCCGCCGGCCTCCGCCACCACTGCCAGGCTCTCCTCGGGTACCCCAGGTGCCCCTGTCCTCACTACTCTTTACTTTTCTACTCACGGCAGGCGGGCGCGCAGAGAGCTGAAACCGAAGACAAGGGGGGTGGGGGAGGGGAGCCGCTCAGCCACGCCCCCTTTGCCGAGAGCCCAGGCACCCCCTCCCCGCCGGCATCAGTACCTTCCCTGGTGTAAGCGGGGAGCTTGGTGTTTTGCAGCCAACGCCAATACAAGGGGAGAGAGGAGAGAGACCCTTTGATCTCTGGGGAGACAGAGGGCAGCGATATTGCCCGGCGCCTGGCCAGGGCAGGCTCACCTCCACCCTTCTCCCAGCACCTCCCGGATCACGGATCACACCTTCCCCGCTCCACCTGCCCGCCCTGCCCCTGCCCCCCTCCCCCTCCCCGCTGCCCCTCCAAGCCCCTGGGTCGTGCCTTGCCCCTTGACCTCACCCATGACCCTCAGGACTCTGTGAGTCTTCTCTATGACTTTGTTCATGGATGCCTCATCTGTGGAGACGGGCAGGGACCTGTGATTCTCTCCCCACAGGGAGAGGCCCGCGTGTCCAGAGAGGGCTGTGGACTCCGGGGGCGGCTGAGGGGCCCAGCTGGGAAGCCACAGGCTGCCCCACTCGGGGTGTGGTGGCCACTGTTGCCCGGCCTGTCTCTGGATGTCTGAGCTTACCTAAGGCAAAGGCCGGGAAGCTCCAGGAGGTCCCACAATCCTTCCACAGAACCTCCACTCGGCTGCAGAGTTGAGCCAGGCGGGCCGACAAGTCACGGGCCGAGAGGTGGCAGAGGACACAGGCCTGGGCAGTGGCCAGGAAAACCCCACCTAACGCCAGCGTCCACATGAGGCCTGCTGGCGAGTGGCCGACAGGGGCCAGCCCCACTGATGCCGCGAAGGCCTCCGAATGCTACGATCCTGGTTCTGACTCTTTGCCTGGAGATTCTAGCGTGTTCCAGAATAATTGGGGATTCTAGAACATTCTGGAACGGTGCCACTGTGCCCTCCCTAGCTGGGGCAAAGGTGGGGCCCAAGGAACTGACGGCCGGAAGGAGACTGGGGCAGAGAAAGCAGGGCTTCTGCTGCAAAGGGGACAGCACCCCCCAACCTGGCCCTCAGCAGCCTTGACAAGTTTGAGGTTCCACAAAGCGATTTTATTTTTCTTCTTGTAAATCATGACCAGTGATGAGTGAGCGAGCGCCAGTGAAGTTGTGCATGAGTACCCCGTTCCTCGGCGACCCAGAAATCCCACCCCTTCCCTTATCCTCCCCCCACTCTCTCCACCTCTTCTGTTCGTCCCCCCTCTGCCCTGGGCAGCCTCGGGCCTTCCCAGCCATCTCCTAGCAACGTGGCCTTGGTTGCCTTAGCCACCGAGAGCTCTCTACCAGCCTCCCAGGCCCGACCCGGCCCACTGACTTCTGTTACCTTTTGTCAGGAAGATCCTAGTGACTCAAACCTCAACGGGCCCCTCCTGCCTACATGGTGATGTGAACGTACACGCGTGTACGTACACACACACCCCTTCTGATGAAACTACTAATTCTCAGTCTACTCACGCCCGTACCACAAACATACCCGGTGCCAAAAGAGTTGCTGGGCAACCCCAAACAGGCCTGGACACGCAGGGACCACAGAAAGACCGGCACACACGTACTGTCTCTGGCAGTGCAGACGGCAGAGACCCAGCGTCGGTCAGACACGCTGGCTGACACACACTGTCAATGTGAACGAAGTAAGGCCAAGACCCGAGAAGATGCTACCCTCTTCCCTGAGGCCAACTCCATCAATATGGGGCCCTTGAAAACACTTGGCTTTCTAGAGTATGGGACTCCAGCCCCATAGTAAATGAGGATTCTCCTAGCTCCCTTATGCCAACCTAGGGTAGGGTGTAGCCTTTCTGTCTCCCTCACTAGGTGACCTGAGACACAGCAAAGAAATCCCCTTTCCCATATTCCAGAATATTCTGGCCTCTCTTTGGTCAGGCCAGGCCAGGCCCATCCAGCGGCAGGAGGAGCAACGGTCCAGGAGACCACATTACAGCAATCCAAAGTCCTTCTCTCACACTTGTGTCCCTCCAGGGTCCTGCTAGGCCTAGTCTGGGCAGAGAGGTGTCCCTACTTTTCTAGAACATTGAATACTGAGCTCCAACAAGGAGACGCTAGAGGCCGCCAGCCTCAGGCTGGAACAAGCCTGGGAACCTTCCCCACCCCTCCCAGGATTAGCACCAGTCCAGACCCTTCACGTGGCTTGTGAGCCCTCAGCAGGCTCAGACTTGGGAATTGCTGCCCACACCTGGGCTCCAGTCAGGAGCAGGGGGACCCCTGACTCTCACAGTTCCAGAGGCAGAGCTAAGAAGAGGCTTCAGGGGGGCCTTCATTCCCTTTGCTGTCCATCCTCTCCCCCCACCACAGTCAGACGAGAGGGCCGCGGGCTCAGTGACGCACGAAGCGCAGAGATCGCGAATTGAGCAGGTCTTCGGGGTCAGGGAAGACGGAGTCTAGACGGAAGCCGTGCTCCAGAGCCACCCGCAGCACCTCCTCCAGGAAGCCTGGCGTGCCCACCACCTCCCGTAGCTCTCCAGGCCCCCCAGTCCACAGAGGCTGCAGCCCCAGTCTCCTGTACTCCACCTCCGGGAGTCCTGCGGGACAGGGAGCCCACTCCAGACGAAAGTGTGGGCCTCCCTCTGCCCTGTCCTCACTGGCCACCCCAAATCGGGCCTGCATGGCACCCAGGCACTCGGGGTCGGTGCAGAAGATGTTGGCTCGGAAGGTATCCACTTGCACAGAGCTCAGCTCATAGTGGTGTGGGCCCCGGCGAGCAGAGAAATGCACCAGGCGGGGGCTGGCATCTACATCTGCGTGGAGCAGGGCAGCTGTGGGTACAGGGGCCCCCCGAGAGGCCTCCAGTTCCCGCAGGGCATCCAGGAGGGGCTGGATCTGGTAAAAGTCGGCCTCTGCTCTGAGAAGTGCTGTCTCCCCATACCCGCGGGGCAGGTCCAGGCGGCCCAGCCGCAGGAAATTGAGGATGTGCCGGAAGGCCTTGCCATCTCTGTCAATGAAGTAGTGGCCGCCTCCCTGGGGGTTGAGGTTGGGGGATATGGGGGTGCCGGCCCTAAACATGGCCCCCAGCATGGAATCTGGGAAGCGAGTCAGGGTCTCCAAAGTGGTGGAATATAGTGTGCCCCCCACATTCAGGGTCACAGGGCCCCCAAAAGAGGGGGGCGAAGAGGGCACAGGAGGAGGCGAAATTTTGGGGACTACAGGAGACACCGAAAGAGAAGAAAAGGCAGAACTCCCTGGGTGTGGGCAGAATTGGGTCATAAAGTTCAGACTGTGTCTCTGTTGGATGCACAGGTTGGAGCACAAGGCGGTAAGATCTGGGGCTCACCCCAGCTACCTGGGTAGTGGGGGACGGTTTCCGGGCACAGACACGGCCAAAAGCTTGAGAGAACGGTTGAAATGCACAGAAGCCAGGCAGGGAGGGAAGAGAGATTTCGGTCCAGACGCATTCGATTCTGGGCGGAGGGTCAGCGACTCCTCTCTGAGGTCCTCAGACAGCGGGTTTCCGGAATCCAACCAGCAGATGACGGCGGCGAGCACAGGCCGACCCTTGGAAGGACCCCGCTTCCGAGTTCTCGGGTAGATCGCTGTCGCCGCGGCCGAGTCCACGCAGGGCCCCAGGGGCCAGTCGCAGGCCTGGCCTGGCTCCCGCGCGGGTCTCAGGAGACGGAGGCGGGGCTGACGCGAGCGGGCGGCGCAGGTACCGCCCTGTCCGCCGGGGAGCGGGGATGCGCGCTCGGCGCCAGCCGGGAGCGCCGGAGGACTCTGATGGAAGCAGCCGGGAGTCTCGGGACCCGGGCGCCGCCGCCTCTCCGGGTGTCGCCGCAGCCGCTGCAGTTCCTCTCCGCCCCCAGGAAGTGGCCTAAGGGCAGCGGCCGGGGGGCCCTTTAAGGGACAGCCCCGCCCCCTGGCGCCCCGCCCCCCGCCCCCGCGAGGCTCGCGCGGCCGGGGTGGAGGTGGGAGCCGAGAGTCTGGAACCGGAGAGACGGGGCGGACGGGCCGGACTGGGGGACGCGGGCGGGGGTAGGGTCCGGAGGGTGACTCAGGCGCGTCGCTGCGGATGTGGCCGCGACTGCCCCGCAGGCCCCCAGGTGTGCCCGACCTCACGTCCGCAGCTCGGCGCATGGCCCGAGGCCCGGCCGTCCCGGGCTTGGGGGCGGTGCCCTCCCGGTCGCTCCCGTCGGGAATTCCCGAGGGGGCGGGTGCTGAGCCGCCGCATTCCGGGGATGCCTCCGGGCCGAGGTGGCCGGAGCCAGCCTCTCCGTCCCGGCGCCAGCTGCCCCCTGCGGGAGGCCGGCCCCCCAGCCCACGCGGGCAGCCTCTCCCCGGCCGGACGCGTCTGGCCAAGTCGCCCGAGCCCGAGAGCCCCGCCCCAGGGCCGCCCGGCGCTAGGGCCCCGGCCGACGCGTTCACCTAGCTGTCCGGGAGCTGCCCCTCGCGTGACTCGAGCTCGCAAACCCTCACCGCTCCCGCCGCCCGGCCCGGCCCGGCCCGAGAGTGGCGCCCTGCAGAGGAACCACGATGGGAAGCGCACAGCACAGAGGCTTTAATGGCCCAGGGGCCGGCGGGGGTGGGGGAGAGGGGGCCGGGGGCGCGGGACCGCGGAGGCCTGGGATCAGAGCGTGTGGAGGTCGTGACTGCGCCGGCTCAGCTTCTCCGGGTCGTCCGACGCCATGAGCGAGAAGTCGCGGAAGATGTCCAGATACGTCTCGTCTCCTGAGCGGGGAGGGAGGCAGGGCTGGGCTGGCGCCCTGCGGGCCGGGTCGGAGCGCGCTGGCTCGCCCGTTCCTCGCGGGGTTCCGAGGACGTGCGCCCTCACGTGCGCCCAGTGCATATTTGTGGAATAAGTAATGGAATTAATCAATGAAGCCGGGCGCCACCGGGCGAGTTTGCAGGGGCCAGAAACCCAGAAGTACAGTGTGGGGCGGGGCGGGGGGAACTTTACCTGCCTGGCCCTGGGCCGCTTCGACCTCTCTCATCTTTGCCAAGCGTAGCCTGAAGGGGAAGGAATTAAGGCCCGAATGACTTTGTCTTGACTGCCCCCACCCCAACCTCCCATCCTCTGAGCTGGGGTGGTTAAATTCACCTGC